ACTTAATTTATACCTCAGTATGACTATGAACCTCAAAACCTACAATATATATATATATAACATAGTCTTGTAGCGACTTTGACCTTGATAGAAAGATCCCAAAGACACATATACCCTCTGGTAAACTAACATAACTATTGAAAATGGCCATTTATAGTGAGTTTTCCCATTAAAAATGGTGATTTTCCATAGCTATGTTAGTTTACCAGAGGGTATCCAGTTTTTTTTTTTACATGATGTTTCGCTACCTCAGCAGCCTCTTGATTTGTTTTCCTCTCAGCCATCGGATGAGGCAATTCTGCAACCGACCCAATGAGCGGGGCGATGCGCTGGATTTGAAGCCCAAGGCGATGGACACAGGGCCCACGGGAAGAAGCAAGAAAGGTCCCAGTGGCATCCCATTTTTGATAGGGAAATCACCATTTTTTAAAAGGAAAATCACATTTTTTTCTAGGATAATCACCATTTTCAAGTTTGGTAAACTGTACTTTTCGCCATGGGAAATCAGCATTTTTCATAGGGAATTCCAGTTTTCTGTGTGCTAAAAAAAAGTACTGAATTCCCATCATTTTCCCTATGAAAATGGCCATAGTTTTTGGGACATCACCATGAAACTAATAGGGAAATCATCGAACTAAATGGGCAATGACTTATTTTTTAGCAAACTGTGAAAAATTACCAGAGAGTATGTATTTGTGGTATTGAAGTCATATAGAAATCAGGATAGAAACTATGACTATAACTATATTATATTACGGATAGCAAGATCACAAGACATGAGATGGGTGGAATGGTAAAATATAAGCCAACATTGAAGCTTTATACTATTAGGACTTCCCACATTGAAGTAGGTGGCCACTATCCATTTTGCAACCCAGTTGTATCATAAACTCCAGTTAGCTATTGGGTGTATTGACTCAAGTTACCAATGGTGAGTGATTTTATCTAACCCAAAGATGTTTGTGGTCCATTTCACTCTGGTACTTTTTATGAGCATGCCCTGGTCTTCTTTTGACCGCCAGATGCTTTCCGAGCTGGGGTGATTTTTCACCAGAATATCACTAGATATCACTAGTAACTAAAGTAGAAAAGGGGAAAAGAATGAAAAAGGATGATGTAGATCCCCCCTCTCAAAAAAAATCCGACATCGATTCCTTTTCGCAGGCTTTGGTTTCCTATTTTCTGGCTTGCTGACACCAAACAAAAATCACCTAGACATCCTTGAGGAAATCTTGGATTGGTACATTTAGTACTTTTTTCATCTTTTGCCGGAGAATGAGGATAAAACAAATAACCATATCATTTAATTTGCAGGGCATCTAAGATTGGATATTGCTGCATCGTATTGTTTTTTTTGGGTTGCTGGATAAGAAGTGAGTGGTTTACATTCGATGATCCCCAAGTCCCCAAGTCACCTCCCCTCACTCTCGGATGTTTCCCCGGAAATTCATACCACCGGCAGGCGTTGAGTGCCTTGGCTTTTTTTTATGCGCAATGGGCAATTTCTGTTTGGATACCACCAAGGGTATGTCACGCAACTGGATGGTATGGCCCATTTTGTGGGCCATTTTAGCAGAGAAGGTGGATGAAGATGACGATAGACCAGCGGATTCGGAGTTTTTTTTTGCAATTTGAAGCCACATGTTTTTTTGTTGACACATGAGCCACATATCTTGGCTCAGGGGAGGGCCTCACACATAAACCTGCGATTGCAATTGACCTTGATCACCCACCAAGACAACAGAATTGTGGAGCAACCCCCCCAAAAATGTGTGGGATCTGCAGGCTCTGGAAACACTGGTTGTGACGATGGTCGGATACTGTGGTTTTTTGTTGGTTGGCTTCTCCCGTTGCTTCAGTTCCTTCAATGGCTGCAATACAGGTTTGCAAAACCTGCCGATTCCGGAAGAAACATGGCAAAAGCTCAGTCGGATTCAACCCCAACAAAGCAGGTAGCTAGCTGAAAGCTGAGCTCATTCTGGATTCCTGTTCCTAACTGGGCATGGGTCAAGATTTCAAACAATTTCAAACAGATTATGACATCTTTTCAGCAGGAAGCCATCCTGTGATCATGTGGGATCCATAATATGAAACAATCCAATTTGTGTTTTTCCCTGTGTATCCCGTTACAAATGGGATGATTCACCACCCCCCCGATGGTTCAGAGCATTCAAATTATTTCACAAAGAAACACAGAAGTAAAAATCATCAAAATTGGGATTCAGCAATCCAATCTATCCCAGGTTTGTTGCAAAGCTGCTTAAATCTGTCATCCACCAGCCACAAATTGCTGGTGAACACATTGTTGGTGGTGAATCTCAACACCCCCGGCCTACGTCGGTGAAGGTGTGACGCCGGTGGGGGCGAAGGAAGCCCTGAAGGTCGCCTCGCCGGGGGGGCCGGGGATCAAATTTGGATGATTTGGGTATCCCTATTTTGGGAAACCTCCAAATAGAAATGGCAACGATGCTATCCGTATATTTTCGCATTTTGTTTGTAGATGATATGAAGATCATCGCAACCCAAAAAATAACAGAATAGATAGAAACTCGAAATTATGAGGTTAATATCAGATGATGTAAGTTTACATCATTTGCAAGATGATTGAACAACTCAATCTATTTAGTAAGGGTTCCCATAAGAAACCCTAATAAACCAGGTTTTGCAGGGAGTGTTTGACACTAGGAGGAGCCGGGTTTTCTGTATCGAAATGGTGGAAGGATACCCCATTCGGTTCGAAGCCTGAACAGATAAAGTCGGGCTCTACTAACCAAGTAAGGATATATAAATAAATATATATATAATTATATATATTATAATTATATATATCTACCAAGGTCATACATTCTTAATATTAACAACATATATCAAATGGTCATACATTGTTAATATTAGCAACATATATCACTTGTCCATACATTGTCATACATATTATCCTTAGGTTAACAATATATCTACATCATTAACCACATTGTATCACCTAAGCCAATATCTACCAATGGTATATATTTGTATATTTATATACCCAGATGCTCCATGTATGGAATATTTACCAACATTTGCCCTAAAAATCACCCAAATGTAGGTAAATATACCATACATGGAGCATCTGGGATATAATTAACACTCTAGATTATATCACCTAAGGATCTTCCGAATCCCGCAATGGTAGGATCATGGCGCCAGGTGGCTCAGATTGCGGTGGATTTCCTTGAAATCGCGCCCGCCAAGGATCGCGCCGATGCGTGGTCTTTGGGCCAAAGCTTCGGAGGGATGTCGTGAAGTTGGGGGAACACGATGTAACTCATGGTGTATATTAGTGTATATATATATATGTATATAATTACATATACAATATATATATATATATACACAATATATATATATATATACACAATATATATATATACACACTATATAAATATATACACACAATATATATATATACACAATATATATATATATACACAATATATATATATATATATGTATACACATGTTGTAAGTAAATGTATTTAACACAAATAACACATACATAAACACATCTGGTATTTGGATATCACATGTGCAGCTATGATCTGGAACCCGTGGAACCCGAAGAGTCCACGGGGCGATGGCCAGCCAGGGTGGATGTCCTCAATTGTGACCCACGACCATCCATACCTTTGGGACGTTTGGGTCACTAGATTCACTAGATTTCCATGGCTATGTTCAATAACCAGAGGGTATCTGTACAATTGTACTTATTTTAAATGGTCTCTTGCAGACCATGTGAAGCATTCGGGAAATTCTCCAGACATGGGAATACCCACTAAGACGACTAGGGGCTTCATTTCGAAAATTGGATGCCTTAGCAAAGAAACACCAGCGAAAAAGGCCTGATGTCCCTCACAGTCTCAGAAGTTTGTCTTTTTTGGGGGTCAAACCCGGTGGGTTTGTGTGAAAAGTATCGGAAAAACCTACACGATTCTCATGTTCATCATCATTTTCCGTATTGAAAAGCCAGAAATTGGGGGCCATCCTTCATTTTTGGACCTTAAGACAGGCAAATGCCGGTTTTCGCATTCACAGATTTTGGATGGCAGCACATCTCACAAATCACTGTGTTCTGAGGAAGAAATGTGAAGCTGCCTGGAAGATTGCGTTGGCCCCCTGGATGCAATCCGACAATCTTTTGGGTCTTTTCTCAACGCTTAAGCCTGCTCAAAGAGGCTTAAAATGGCTGGAAGATGGCTATAGATGGCTGGACTCCTGATGACAAAGGATTCCTCCATCCAGCCTGAATTTGGGACTGGGACCAAAATTCGTGAACAACAATCGCGAATTGTGTCAATCCTTTTTCATAATTCGTTCAGAACCACTGACCCCAAAATGTAGCTTTAAAAGATCATCAAGAAATATTTCCGTACCATAGTACCGATAGGATCCATGGTGCTGGTATATATGCTAACATGACTGGGGTATATTGATGGGATCCATGTTACCATGATTCGACCAAGTTGATGCCCCAAAAGGAGGCCAAGGAGGGGATCCCCAAGAAATTTGGTGACGGCTTAGGAAAGCCGAAGGTGGAAACGTATGACTGGTTGGTGGTGACTGGAACATGAATGGATGATTTTTCCATATCTTGGGAATGTCATCATCCCAACTGACTTGAACTGACTCATATTTTTCAGAGGGGTAGGTCAACCACCAAGCAGATGACTTTGGGTGACACTTGAGACTAGACATTGAGATGGGGATGTTCTCCATGTTTTCCGTGGATCCATATGTTTTGATCATTCGTGGTGTTCCACATGAGTTGCTAGTGTCTTTTGAACCCGAAAGTGAACCCGATAGTAGAAGGATGGCAGTATCTTCAGATTTCTTCAGCCCAATCAGCAGTTCAATCAACCATGGAATTGCCGCCATGACATTTTGTGTACTGATTTTTCAAGCTTTACGGACGGGTGCCCCTTCAACAGCGACTTGGCTCCAGCTCAAACACTTCTCTTCCCAAG